CTTTTGAATCAAGTTGCAGCTTTCCTTACTTTGCAATCTACATACAACTCTTATCTGCAAACAAAGCAGAGGAGAGAAAAGGAAAAGAAAAAGATTTGCTCATAAAAAGCTTTAGGTTTGAACGGATGATGCGCTACAACCTTAACGACCGTTAGAACATCTTATGAAAGAAATAACACTTGGTATGGCTTTTTAAAAGGACTCATTTTAATGCAAAGCACGGTCCTAAGAAATGACTGAATGATTAATCTCTTAATTCAACGAGAGATAAAGTGTTCTGTCTGAGTCTATCTGTAGTGTCATTTAAAACAGAAGTATTAAAACTGACTGTCAGTTTGTTAGCTAATGAATGGTGTCATTTCTCAATAGAGACGGTCTTAGTGTGTGTTCTTAGTCCACCTTAGCAGAGGTGGGTTGAGTACCTAGAAAATGCTCTCAAGTAAAAGTAGCACTACTTTGATACATTTTTTACTCGAGTAACATTAAAAAATAGACAAATTAAATTAAAAAGAGAGTAAAAAAGTACTTGGTAATGTCATGATCTTGCCTGTTTGCTCTCCCTTAATTAGTAATTTCTTTCACCTGCCGTTTACACTCCCTGCCTCAATTATAATTTATTCCTCTCACCTGTTTCCTCTTGGTTATATCCAGTTCAGCCTGAGTATTCAGGGCCAGATCATTATTTGTCTTTCTGTTAGCCTGTCTGTTAGTTTGATTCCTTGGTTCATATCCTGGATCCTGGCGGCCAGTGGAAAGAGGTTTTTGTGTTTGTCTCGTCTCCTGATCATCCACTGTTCCTCCCCCGCGGAGTCTTCTAGGTTTTTGGCTCTATATGTGGGGAGGTTCAGTTTTTATCAAAGTAAGCCTGGGTCCAAGGAGTAGACCAGTTTAAAGGTCCTGCATCAAGTTCTGGTTGCACGTCCTGTCTCGGCTACCCTCTGCCACTGAGCCTGCTCATCTGCACCTGATCCTGTCTGCTCCTGTTCGTGACCGCCTGGTCATGCTTCCGGTCCCAGTCAGACTATGAACCTGGATCCTGCCACCTGTCTGTTCCAGCCTGATCTGGATCCTATTCTGTCTGTTCCTGTCTGTTCTGGATCCCAGACTATGATCGGCTTTCCTGCATAACCTCTGGAACTGCAGCACTGGGGACACTCTTGGACTGGACTATTAAACCAGAGTGTCTGACCTGTTTGTTTGCAGTAGAAAAACTCAAATCTCTTTGAAAGCTGCCTGTTGGATGAGCGCACTGTGTTCCTGAGCCGAATCGAGACAGACTTCTTCTGCGCAACGAAACCAAACTAAACCCCGCCCCCTCCATACCACTGGGCCAACACGTAAAGATAATTTCCACTCTTTTCATCTGATGTTTAATAAATAAATAATATAGGTAGAATAGATATTTCACATGTGTTTGTGTTTTATCTGAAAGAAGTTTTTGATTCAGCTGCTGATGGTTTATAAGTAGGAGTTCTGAACTGAATGCTAATGCTCAATGAGCCTGATTAAACGATTCATGCTGTGTGTTACTCTCTGCTTAATTGCTCTTTTTCAATTTGTTTGCTAGCACTGTTAGTGCCAAGCTACCTCATTGGCGACCCTATGGTTGCAGCCATGTTGTGAGTCTACTAATCCCTCCTATTTCTAGCAGGCCCACCCCAGAAGCGGATTCCTAACCCACTCTTTCCAGTGTCACTATTCACTGTTTACCATTCACGGTAAAACCAGGGGATACTTCACTGTTCCGATTGCATTTAATATCAAAGGGTTCTTATTTGGAGAGAATCTTATTTCTAATTTTTACACAGTTAATGTTGTTATATTGTTGCTGCAAGCAAGGAACACATTTTGTAATTGAAAAATAGAAGAAAAATGCATTCCAGGAATTAAGCGTTGTAAAAAAAACGTCTTAAGCCCAAATGCCCCCTTTCAAGGGGGCTTTAGTTCTTTTGCAACAATAATAAGCCTGTAGCTGAGTAACTCTGAGACTAACACACACTTATCAGTCCAAATCTTCATCTGAGATTTCTCTACAAGACCATCAACTTCATTCTAATATCCACTGACATCAGCTCCCACACCATGCATGAAATGAGAGCCAACAAGACTCTGACGTGTCTGATGTTAAACACATTAACAAAACTCTGATTATTTGCAGCTGACATCTCAAGAAATTCCCCTCAAAAACACCAGCAAAACCAACAAAGCACATAAAACCGGTCCTATTTGGCTGTTTTTTTCCATCAAAAAATGTTTTCTGAATAAAAGTCAGTTTCTAAAATACTGTACATCCAGCAAACATTTTTTTCTTCTCTCTGTATTACACTACAGCAGTTTCTCAATATTTGGAATCTGTGCGTAAATTACAAAGACCTCTGCTATTCTTGCGTGTGCTTTGCGTGAGCTTCTGTCTATCTCAAATTAGCAGATATCATTGAAATCTGTAGAATGTGTCTTCTCCAAAGAGCTATGAAACTTACTGACTTGGAAAAAGGGTATTTAGATATGCTTTGTGTATATATATATATATATATATATATATATATATATATATATATATATATATATATATATATATATATATATATATACGCATATGTATACAACACACATTGCACACATAGAGTGCTGAAATAAAAGCCAAACTATTCCAAAATGGCACAGTAGGAGTTAAACATCTATAACCTTTCAATTGCTTGCTGTATGGGCACCAAAGTTGCTCTATATGTCAGTTACTAAAATTCTTTATTTGCAGTTTGTTATGTTTATTTCTTTCGTTACAGGAAAGTTTTGTATGTATATGTATGTGTATTGTTTTGTTTTTGGCCATTTATACATTTCTTAATCAGGCCCAGAATAATTTACTTCCAAAATCCATTTTACTACCAAAATGTTTTCCTTCCAATTCATTTTCAGGACCTTTATGTCAATTGATCGCAAGATTAGCAGTTAGGGCAGTGTATGCAAAATACTTTACATAACAAAAAAATATTAAGAGCAAGAAATTCGCTGTTTTCTTAGATATTATTTTTTTCAAAAAATTTTTTTCCAGTTTTAGTTAAATATTTTATCCTTTTGGATTTTTTATTCATTTTGAAAATATGCTTTTGATTGTTTTTTGTTTGTTTGTTTTATTTCCCCTTACAAAAGATGTTATTTTCTTGCAAAAATAACGCAACAAAATTCACTCCATAGATTTTTTTCCCTCTGCCTGTAGATCAGTAAATCCTGTTTAGATCCTGAATCAGAACATGATCCACTCAGGTTCTCTTCTTTAGTAAACAGATTTAGTGTCAAAGCTCTATTTTTAATTCTTGTCCTTTCCTCTGTGTCACAGCTACCTCGACCTTTTAGTAGATATGTGCAGTCAGCATGAAAAAAACAGAACTTATTTGTAAAAAGAGGATGTTATTTTCTCCAGCTGCAAGCAGCACTATGGGTGTATTTTCTCATAAATATATAGATGGATGCTTTTTCATTTTAAACACACTTAAAGGTGCTGGTATCTCATTTCAAGGGCTTTGTAAATTGGACAGATGCATAAACTTTGGATTATAAATGTTCTTAAACCACAGTCCCATAGCGAATAAGCCTGAGGGTCTGTCTGTGACTAATTTCTTAAATTTGTAATTAAAAGAAAGCTTTTGACACCACTGCTGGAGGTCGCAATCTATTTAATCTGTAATTAAATATTTCACTGCAGTGGTGGGTTTCTCCATACTATTCCTTATCTGCTCTCTGTGGGAATCCTGCTTTGTTGCAAAGAAAAATACATGCAAGAAGACATCTTCTACAACCCCCCAACCAAGACATCCTCCACCATTATGAGAAGCAGCTTGTCTTTAGCCTCCACGTGGCAGAAAGGATTTACATCAGTAGCTACATAACATGCAATGGCATTTAGTGTCCCCACAGCTCAATGGTGGACGCCACTGGCTCTGTGATTTACGTTCGATGCTTCCGTTGAGGATGATGCGAGGCGACAGTAGATTTGGTCAGGATTGGTGTGACAAGCCCTGTGTGAGCAGGAAAGTATTTCTTGAAGAAGCAGCCAGAAATAATTTTTCCACTGTAGCGTGCACCTGAGGATAAGGGGGAAAACTTTTTTTTTGCACCTTTTCTTTTTTTTTCTTAGATAAACACAATGCATCTGATCTGAGCTTTAGGGAACAGTAAGCCGTAGCTCGAGAAAGGAAATAAAAAGGGGAAAATATTAGCAAACAGTCGTAGATGAGATTTATGCAAACAATAATCTGATTTTCTGACAGGCTTCAGCTAACAGCTGTTCTGCTGCAGTTATTTTTTGATGAAACCAGATAGGATCCTCCAATCTACTAATCTCAACATGATGAAAGCTCATGGGGGCATGCTTTTATCAGTCTTTAATACATTAACGCTCTCATCATCTTTTTGATCTTACTGCATTTTATCTGTATTGTAAAAGGAAATTAAATAAAGTTGCTTCTGCTAGAAGAAAAAAAAAACTGAAACCACAAGAGCAATCATTTGCTAGATTATACAGAGAGCTTACAGTAAAGTAGCTGCACTCTAAAAATCCACCTAAAGAGCCCAAAGCATGCTTAAACCACACATTCACACGTGTAAATCAGCTCATGAATAAGTTAGAAGTCTTAAGTGTTAAACACACAAAAAACTACTGTGTTTAAAAGCTGCACTTGTGTTCAATTGTCCAGTGAGGCATAAAAAGAGGCATTTTTTTGTCATTATCCTTTAGTTTTAGTAGTCTGGACAACATCGGCCGGCGTCGTCTCAGCTCAGGATGATCTATAAATCCTACACACGTTTTCTCCCTTTGTGTCACACCTATATATTCCCTTATTTTCTAATGTGTCTGTTGGTGGTGGGGGTCACAAAACTTATTAAGGTTACTGCTTTAAGCATTCCCCAGAACCTGGCTGAGCAAACATCTGTGACCCTGCATGTGAGAGTTAAAATATTACTACCTTTCACACAACAAACAGGACAGTTTGTCTACTTACCTGCGTCTTTGTGATCAAAGCCCTGACTGGTCAATATGAAGAGGAAATCCTGACAGGTCTCCTGATCCAATAGGGTGCTGTTGTGCAGGCAGAGGTCAACAATTATGGTCACAGCTTTCTGACAGACCATGTCATACTCCTCCTGGTCAGGACTCATGCTCCCAGCTGCATCCTCAGACTCGTCTGCTCATCCAAAGGGGACTAACGCACGCACACACACACAGACATCCAAACACAAACCCACTCACGCTGCCGCTCGACATCAAGATAAATGTAACTTGTCTCCATCCACAGCGGATTCTTCTCCTTCATGTACGCTCTCTCTCATCAGCGTTTTACGCACAGATACGCTCACTCTTGTGCATGTGTGGGTGTTTGCGCTCTTCAGCACCGGTGCTTGTGTAGCTACACTGTTTGTAGATGTGAATCACATTTGTCCCCCAGGTGATGTAAGGGTAGAAATATTGCATCATATCTATCCTACTTAAGAAGCAAAATAATGAAGAAAAAAACTTCATATGTTGGTAAATGTCAAAGATTCGTCCCGACCTGACCTGTGCAGAAAAAAAAATTATAATAGATAAATAAAATAAGATAAAGCATACCCACCACAATGTCCACTAGAGTTGTTTTTTTCTCTCGGGTTGACTGATACGGCTGGTCTCTAGAGTTCAGAGCGTCTCGTGTGATACATTTTCCCCTGGAGGTAAACCACCTGTGACTGCTGGGTCTCCCTGTCCCCAATGACAAAGCTCAAGATGAGTTCTGTTTACAGCATGTAGAGATGATGTTTGAACTGCTTCGGAGCTGCTTTGGAACTATAAATATATACATTTCTTTACAAAGAGACACATTCTTATTCATATTGAATGGCATTTTTCATTAAGTAAAAATATAAAAATAATATTGAAGAATTGGGAATTATTTGACCAGAGATGGCAAAAGTACTCACTTTCCGTACTTGAGTAAAAGTACAGATACTTGTGTTAGAAATACTCTGGTAAAAGTGGAAGTACTGATTAAACTTCTTTACTCAAGTAAAAGTAACAAAGTACAGGCTTGTAAATTTACTTAAAGTATAAAAGTAAAAGTAGAAACCACTTTTTTTATGCCGTTGCCTACATTTTAAATGGATGTCTGCCAATAGGACTAGATCTCCGTTGTGTTCATTTTCAATCATCTCGTCGTCCATACTATTATGCTAACGCCACCGCCAATTCAATTCAATTCAATTCAGTTTATTTATATAGCGCCAAATTCACAACACATGTCATCTCAAGGCACTTTACAGTTCAACCAGATCATACAGTCAAATTGATACAAAGTTTTCTATCTAAGGAAAACCAGTTGATTGCATTGACTCATTGACTCAAATACAATCCCTCACACTAAGCATGCTTGTAGCGACAGTGGAGAGGAAAAACTCCCTTTGAACAGGAAGAAACCTCCAGCAGAACCAGGCTCAGTGTGAGCGGCCATCTGCCGAGGCCGACTGGCCACCAAGCTGCAATGATTTGCCGCGAATGAATACCGCCGAATCTGTCGATTCATCTTGTAGTGGTGCGTCAAATGCAACGTAGATTCCCATCCAATTAGATTGAATTAGGTATTGATGACGTGAAAAATAATAACGGTAACTCCATTGAAATGATTCAAAACTAAAGTAACAAGCAAATTTTTTTAAATGTAAGCAGTAGAAAGTACAGATATTTGTGCAAAAATGTAAGGAGTAGAAGTAAAAAGTCGCCATAAAAATAAGTAGTAAAGTAAAGTAAAAATATCAGAAAAATCTACTTGAGTACAGTAACGAAGTATTTGTACTTCATTACTTCCCATCTCTGTATATGACACTATACATTGTGATATAATAAAAGACAATTGTGACTCAAAAGGGGCATATTTCTTTTTTTAAACTTGAAAATCCAAAGCTGACCTGAAGGGACACTAGTTTGGTTTTGAATTAAAATGTGTGCAAAACTATGTTGATATTCTGCTACCGTAATATTGAAAAAGCAAATTGCAGTATCCATCATCTGACAAGCTTGTCCCGAATGGGGATGCTGGTGCCTATCTCCAGCTGTCAATGGGCGAGAGGCAGGGTACACCCTGGACAGGTCGCCAGTCCATCGCAGGGCAACTCAAAGACAAACAACCATTTAGACTCACACCTAAGGAGAATTTAGACAAGTCAATTAACCTAACAGTCAGGTTTTTGGACTGTGGGAGGAAGCCAGAGTACCCGGAGAGAACCCACGCATGCTCAGGGAGAACATGCAAACTCCATGCAGAAAGACCACAGGCTGGGAATCAAACCCTGAACCTTCTTGCTGCAAGGCACTGAGCAGCCCTCAGCAAATTGCGAGGGTTGCTCAGAAAAAGCAAATTGCGGTATTTCAATAAAATAAGAAATGTAGTTAAATGTATTCATGAATATGTTTGTTTACATGATAACTCTTGAAAGCAACAGGGCAGTGGGGGATGCAATCACATCCTCCACTGCTTATATACACTCACCGGCCACTTTATTAGGTACACCTGTCCAACTGCTCGTTAACACTTAATTTCTAAGCAGCCAATCACATGGCGGCAACTCAGTGCATTTAGGCATGTAGACATGGTCAAGACAATCTCCTGCAGTTCAAACCGAGCATCAGTATGGGGAAGAAAGGTGATTTGAGTGACTTTGAACGTGGCATGATTGTTGGTGCCAGAAGGGCTGGTCTGAGTATTTCAGAAACTGCTGATCTACTGGGATTTTCACGCGCAACCATCTCTAGGGTTTACAGGGAATGGTCCGAAAAAGACAAAACATCCAGTGAGCGGCAGTTCTGTGGGCGGAAATGCCTTGTTGATGCCAGAGGTCAGAGGAGAATAGCCAGACTGGTTCCAGCTGATAGAAGGGCAACAGTGACTCAAATAGCCACCCGTTACAACCAAGGTCGGCAGAAGAGCATCTCTGAACGCACAGTACGTCGAACTTTGAGGCAGATGGGCTACAGCAGCAGAAGACCACACCGGGTGCCACTCCTTTCAGCTAAGAACTGGAAACTGAGGCTACAATTTGCACAAGCTCATCAAAATTGGACAATAGAAGATTGGAAAAACGTTGCCTGGTCTGATGAGTCTCGATTTCTGCTGCGACATTCGGATGGTACGGTCAGAATTTGGCGTCTACAACATGAAAGCATGGATCCATCCTGCCTTGTATCAACGGTTAAGGCTGGTGGTGGTGGTGTCATGGTGTGGGGAATATTTTCTTGGCACTCTTTGGGCCCCTTAGTACCAATTGAGCATCGTTGCAACGCCACAGCCTACCTGAGTATTGTTGCTGACCATGTCCATCCCTTTATGACCACAATGTACCCAACTTCTAATGGCTACTTTCAGCAGGATAATGCGCCATGTCATAAAGCTGGAATCATCTCAGACTGGTTTCGAGAACATGACAATGAGTTCACTGTACTCAAATGGCCTCCACAGTCACCAGATCTCAATCCAATAGAGCATCTTTGGGATGTGGTGGAACGGGAGATTCGCATCATGGATGTGCAGCCTACAAATCTGCGGCAACTGTGTGACGCCATCATGTCAATATGGACCAAACTCCCTGAGGAATGCTTCCAGCACCTTGTTGAATCTATGCCACCAAGAATTGAGGCAGTTCTGAAGGCAAAAGGGGGTCCAACCCGTTACTAGCATGGGGTACCTAATAAAGTGGCCGGTGAGTGTATGTCTGTATTGCCACGTTCAGACCGCAAGCAGCAGAGGCAGCAGAAGCAGCTAGTTTACATGCAAAGTGAATGGCTGACGCTCATCAAGGCGCAGAAAAAGGTCCTGCAGTGCGTTTGACCAGCTGAAGCAGCGCGTCATGAGCTTCTTACCTCACCTCAGAATTGGAAAAATTCTGCTTTCAAATAAAATTTGAAGGCAGGGTTGTAATCTTGATTACCTGACTGCACAGATGTAGTTTTCAGGTGGACTTCCTCACTAAAAAACATATTAAAACTACTTTTTACCCACTGATCACAGCAAATATAGCTGCCATAGTAACAGGCAAAGAAAGGATAGCGTAGCTCCGCACAATCAGCGCATCAGACCCACTTCTCGACTGGGCAGCTAGAGCAGCAAAGTCAGAACTAAACTTGTACAAGCAGGATGCGCATTTTTGCTGCTCCTGCTGCTTGCGGACTAAATATAGCATATGTGTGTAAGGGTATTATGTGAGTGTGAATTAATGAATGTGAATTTGTCTTTTTCTACTTATGTTGATAAATAGGCACTATGGCCTCTGGGGTCGGGCCCTTCAGAGACTGGGCCCCTTAGTGATCGGGATGCTCTCATCTGCCCTTCTGTGGTGGGTTTCCCAGTGATAGGGGGTACCTCTGCATGGATCACCTCCTTATCGGCCCTGGACCCTGTAGGGTACCTCTGGGGCCACACACACCTGCTATTAAGAATATTGTCCGTCTGAAGAAGCCTTATAAATCCTTCATACATGAGCATACCCAAGCATTCATAGCATGCTAGTTTGGTTCCAGGTGTTCACAGATGCACACTAATACTAAATACTAACCTGCAGCTACAGATATATACCACCCTGAATAATGTTTTGTAATCACCACAGATTTTGGCTATCAGATGGAAACCCACTGCTGTTGAAGCTTTTTTATGTTTGCTTTGGTTTTCTGTTGTCTCCTTTTTGCTTTTGTTATGTTCTCTGTTTTATGTCTCTCTTGTCTCATAGAGATTTGGAAGCAGTCTTGTAGGAGTTACTGTATATTGTCTGTGTTCTCTAGTTTGGTTGTTTTGTTTTATTTTGTCTCCTTTCGTGCACTCTTTCCTGTCTCTATCTATTTCTTTCTCCCATTAATTCTTTTTTTTTTATATTCTTTATTTAAGATTATTAGGAATCCAACACACATACATATGTATATTTATGCATGCACTTACATAGATAAAAAAAAAAAAAAAAACAAGGGGGGGGGGGTCTCAGCAAACATTTAAGTCCATTTTGGCAATTGACATTTAGAGGTTCTCATCGGCTCACATGAAAGACAAATGTTTATATCCAATGTCTTTCATTAAAAGACAGAGACATGTCAAGGGGACTAGCAGCTTTTTATAACACTTAGGGCCGGATTTATCAAGATCCAATTTTGAACAAGACGCACTTTTGCGTGTAAACGCCCCATATTGCATATTCATTGCAGAAAAAGTACTAAATGGATAAGAGGCGCTATTTAGCACGTTTTAAAGACCAAATCCTTTTAGCATGCTGTTGATAGATCAGTTTGTACATTTTAGCAGTGAAATAGCTCACG